CCTGTATTCACAAAAAGTAAGTTGAATGATGCTGGTCATCATTCAACCTTGAAGAGGGACACCATCTAGTATGAGAGCAGACTTTCTGTGAGGGACAGCACTGTAGAGAATGTGTTTATTGCAGTAAGAGCTACATTAAAATATAATTCAGGTGCCGCTCTTCACTTCCAATTGAAACCAAAAGCAACCAACATAAACGTCTTTTTATAAGTGTCCATAAATTGGTATCTTCACAGATGCCTGAATTACAACCAACTTCTTGAAATGCCTGGTGTGATAAAACACTGCAAACCAATGTGTGTCAACCTCCACTGGATGTGCTCTCACCTGGTGTATATGACCAAACTGCTAAGTGAGCATGTATCCCTTGCATGGACTGTTACATGATGCCCGATAAGCATGAATATCTGAAATATACCTTCTTTTTTATAAATAATGTGGAACACTGGTTTACCAATAAATGTTTTCTAAGGATAAAGCCATATGTTTTGGTCATCTTTTTTCTGTATACATTTGATGGAGAAGGACAGTTAGGAGAGTGGAGGAAACCCATGCTTATTGGTATTCATATTACAGTCCATACAAGGGACACATGCTATATATGACCTCACTTAGTGGTTTGGCCATATACACCAAGTGAAAATACATCTGGTGGAGGCTTACATACATTGGTTTGCAGTGTTTTATCGCACTAGGTGTTTCAAGAAGTTGGTTGTAATTCAAGCATCTGTGAAGATACCAATTTATGGACACTTATAAAAAGACATTTATGGTGGTCACTTTAGGTTTAAATTAGAAGTGAAGCACGGCACTTGAATGATATTTTATGTTGTATAGCACATTTTGTATGGGAGTGTGAATAGTGTGAGCATTTCACAATTTTGTTTTATTTTATTTTTTTAATTTAATTTAATAGTTTATTATTGTTATTTTGAAGGTATTTTACATCACGGATCTGGCATAGCAGCTCACAAGATTTGCATTTAATTTATAGTAAGAGCTACATTGTTTTATTTTTGCGTATGCCTAGCAATTTTATTTTTTTTTTTAAGTAGAAACTGAAACTCCACTTTAACAACAACAAAAACTCATAAATGCAAAGCAGACGCATGTATAAACACATATTAAAAGTATGTGAAAAGCACACAGTAATGTCACAAATATTCTCTTCTCCTTGAACATAAATGTGAAAGAACCCCAAAGCATCTCTGCAAAACATGGTATATAATGCAGAATTGGGTGATCTAATAAAGAGTGTCAGGCTGCCCTCTTGAATTAATTATAACAAAAACTTTATCCTATTCAAGTGGGGATATCTATCCTTTAACAGTATATTCTTTGTAAATAGCTGACAATTGACTCTGACTTCCATGAAAATATAATAAATATCTATAGGGGGTCCTGCTTTTCAAAAAGGTATGATGAAACCTTGACTCACATTTCCAAGTGATTTACACATATGTGTTGCTCATACAAGAAGCGTGGGAAGAGTAATGACAGTGTATAAGGAAAAAACATTATGGTACATTCCACTATATTATACAGCTCCCATATATCACCTCAATTTCAGCAAGTCCAGGGAAAGTGTCTGAGAATATTTGATTGTAGATGGACAAATGGGAATTTCTATGTCATCAGGATAAGTAGGTAACCAATGCATCACTCCCTACAGTGCAACACTAGATAAAAATACTTGTGACATCTATAATAAATCAAGGCTGTCCCTTGGATCTGCAGTTTTGCTTCATAGTTGGAATTCTAAAGGTCACAGAGACTGCTCAGGCTGTGCTGACATAGGTCAGTGGGGCAAGAATAAGTCAATATGAAGTTGCTTAATGTATTTCTAAACAACAATAGAACATCTTGAAGAAACATAATTGCATCGAGGAACTGCTATAAACCAAAAGATGATTAGATGAATAACATTTCCATTTGATATATGTAAAACAATTTAAAATGCAAAGTGGAAATATTAGATATAAATATTAACGACAGACATATTCTACTACACTATTTTTTTATCTTTCCTACAAATCATAGATGATGTGTAAAATAGAAATGTTTCTGACAGATCAACAGCATAATAGTTAACAGAGATAAAATAAATCAATGTTATCTGTAATAGAAAATATCCACGACATATATTTTCTGGAATTATTCATAGCACTAAGCAATGTTCATATTTAATTTGAACATTAATTAGGCTATCAAACTTCTAAAACAATTACAAGGGATCATATAAGTCTCTTGTGAAAAATTGGTTTCTTAAGTTTTTATTTGTAGGGAATAATGTGCAAAAGAATAACCATTGTCTGAGAGAAAACTTTAGGATAAAAAAGAGAAGTTATCAATTCATGGCAGTTTCCACACCAAGCCTGTATATCCTCCAATACATATATTAATATATTAAAAATAGTATGGTAACAATGGGCAGTACAGTGGTACAGTTGCAAGAAAAAGTATGTGAACCCCTTGGGATTACGTGGAGTTTTGCATGAATTGGGCATAAAATGTGCTCTGAACGTCATCTAAGTCACAACAATAGAAGAACACAGTCTGCTGAACATAATACTACACAAACATTAGATGTTGCCATGGTTTAATTGCACATAACATGTAAACATTCACAGTGCAGGGAGGAAAAAGTATGTGAGGCCCTAGCTTAATGACTTCTGCCAGAGCTAATTGGAGCCAGGAGTGAGCCAACCTTGACTCCAATCAGTGTGATGATATTGGATGTGTTGCTGACAGCTGTCCTGCCCTTAAAAAACACACATGTGTTTTGGGTTTACTGGTTTCAAGAAGCACTGTCTGATGTGAACCATGCCTCGCAGAAAAGAGGTCTCAGAAGACCTACGATCAAGAATTGTTGACTTGCATGAAGCTGAAAAGGGTTACAAAAGTATCTCCAAAAGCTTTGATGTTCATGTGTCCACGGTTGCTATTCTCCCTAGGCGTGGTCATCCTGTAAAAATGACTGCAAGAGCACAGCGCAGAATGCTGCATGAGGTAAAGAAGAATCCCAGAGTGTCAGCTAAAGAACTACAGAAATCTCTGGCACATGCTAACATTTTTGTTGACACATCTACAATAAGGAAAACATTAAACAAGAATGGAGTACATGGGAGGACACCACGGAGGAAGCCATTGCTGTCCAAAAAGAATATTGCAGCACGTTTGAAGTTTGCAAAAGAGCACCTGGATGTTCCACAGCACTACTGGCAAAATATACTGTGGACAGATGAAACCAAGATTGAGTTGTTTGGGAAGAACACACAACACTATGTGTGGAGAAAAAAAGGCACAGCACACCAACATCAAAACCTCATCCCCACTGTAAAACATGGCGGAGGGAGCATCATGGTTTGGGGCTGCTTTGCTGCCTCAGGGCCTGGACGGATTGTTGTCATTGATGGGAAAATGAATTCCAGAGTTTATCAAGACATTTTGCAGGAAAACGTACGACCACCCGTCCACCAACTGAAGCTCCGCAGAGGATGGGTGATGCAACAGGACAATGACCCAAAGCATACAAGTAATTCAACAAAACAATGGCTGCAACAGCACAGAATACGCCTTCTGGAGTGGCCCAGTCAGATTCCTGACCTCAACCCAATTGAAATGCTGTGGCATGACCTTAAGACAGCGATTCACACCAGACATCCCAACAATATTGCTACACTGAAACAGTTTTGTGAAGAGGAGTGGTCCAAAATTACTCCAGATTGTTGTGCAGGTGTGATCTGCAACTACAGGAAACGTTTGGTTGAGGTTATTGCTGCCAAAGGAGGGTCAACCAGTTATTAAGTCCAAAGGTTCACATACTTTTTCCTCCCTGCACTGTGAATGTTTACATGTTATGTGCAATTAAACCATGGCAACATCTAATGTTTGTGTAGTATTATGTTCAGCAGACTGTGTTCTTCTATTGTTGTGACTTAGATGACGTTCAGAGCACATTTTATGCCCAATTCATGCAAAACTCCACGTAATCCCAAGGGGTTCACATACTTTTTCTTGCAACTGTAAGTGGTTAGCACTTCCACCTAGCAGCACTAGGGTTGTTGGGTCAAATACCAATATAAAAACTCTCAGCGCACTAGTGGCTCATAGCCTGTAAATATGCAAAAATATACAAAAAGTCCATGAGTCCATAATATCCATAGCTGTATAACCGCTTAAATGGCAACTATCCCAGAGTGAGCCAACTCTATAGGGATAATATGTAGAAAGAAAAAAACAAGAGAGGCACCTTCTACTTGGACTCATTGTCAGACCCTATGCTGGTGCAGTGGGTCCTGAATTCCTTCTGGTGCATGGCAATGCCCGGCCTCATGTGGCAAGAGTATGCAGGCAGTTCCTGGATAATGAAAGAATTGATACCATTCAATGGCCCCCATGCTCGCCTGACCTAGAACCAATAGAACACCTCTGGGATATCATGTTTCGGGCCATCCGATGTCACCAGGTTGCACCACAGACTGTTCGGGAGCTCAGTGATGCCCTGGTCCAGATCTGGGAGGAAATATCCCAGGACACCATCCGTTGTCTCATTTGCAGCATGCCCCGACGTTGTCAGGCATGCATAAAAGCACGTGGGGGCCATGCAAACTAATGTGTACTATTTTGAGTTGCTGCAATGAAATTTCAGCAAGATGGACTAGTCTTCTGCATAATTTTTTTCACTTTGATTTTCGGGGTGTCTTTGAAGTAATTTCTCTGTAGGTTGATAATTTTCATTTCCATCAAATGATGAGGCATCCTTACGTTCCTAACACATTATCTGGTCTATATCAGTATAGATATCCAGCTTGAGATTTTTCCCCATTGAAATCTGATGTGTTTTTAAAGTGTTTAACCACCTCCCACCTGCCATATAGTCCAATGACGGGTGCAAGGTGGTTCTCTCGTTCTGATAGGATGTCATATAACGCCCTGCCATTCTCACCGCGCATGCTCGGCTCAGGGAGCGTGCAGCGCAGCGATTGGCAGTGCTCTGTGTCCCTCGGACACAGGGGATCACCGATCACGGAAAGAGCCGAAGATGTCGGCTCGGTCATGTGATCAGTTGTGTCAAATCACAGCTGATCACATGTAAACAGGGAAATGCCGGTTATCGGCATTTCTCTCCTCTCAAGCTGTCATGCTGACAGCTTGTGAGGAGAGGAGAGCCGGTAATCGGCTTTCCGTGGAGGGGACATGTACACTGATCATCAGGGCACTGATGATCAGTGTGCCCTGATGATCAGTGTGGCCCCTGAAGTGCCATCTGTCAGAGTCCATCAGTGCCAGCTGAACAGTGCCACGTGTCAGTGCCCATCAGTGCCACAATGCCACATATCAGTGCATACCAGTGCACATCAATTCCACAAATCAGTGCCCATCTGAGCTGCCCTTCAGTATCACCCATCAGTGCCAGTCAGTGCCACCTATCAGTGCTGCCACAGTGCCACCTATCAGTGCCAGTCAGTGCCACTTATCAGTGCGCATCAGTGCCGCCTATCAGTGCGCATCAGTGCCGCCTATTAGTGCCAGTCAGTGCCGCCTATCAGTGCCAGTCAGTGCCGCCTAACAGTGCCAGTCAGTGCCACCTATCAGTGCCACCTATCAGTGTCATATATCAGTGCTATATATCAGTGCTGCCTTTCAGTGCCCATCAGTGCCACCTACCACTGCCTCCTCATCAGTGCCCATCAGTGCCACCTATCAGTGTCCATCAGTGCATCTTATCAGTGCCCATAACTACAGCCTCATTAGCGTACATCAGTGAAGGAGAAAAATCACTTATTTACAACATTTTATAACAAAAACTAAGAAAAAAACTTTTTTTTTTCAAAATTTTCAGTGGTTTTTGGTTTTGTTTAAGAAAAAATAAAAAAAACCCAGAGGTAATTAAATACCACCAAAAGAAAGCTCTATCTGTCACAAAAAATGCTAAACATTTCATATGGGTACAGTGTTGCATGACCACGCAATTGTCATTCAAAGTGTGACAGTGCTGAGAGCTGGAAATTGGCTTGGGCAGGAAGGGGGTATAAGTGGTTAATTCTTTGGAGCAGTGTATATTGACTATAGGCATATTAGGTCATGTTATACAGTAAATAAAGTGGCATTTTAAGGCATGTTAAAAAATAAATAAAAATGTTCACAATTATTATGGAGATAAGTTGTACTTGAGTATATCTTACAAAGATGTGTAGATATGGCACAAAACCAATTTAAAGATCTAAGGGTTTAAAGCTTCTATATAAATTCATTAAGTCAGGACAGGCAGCCAAGAAGCAATATGTTTTGCTAGTTTAACTTGAAAAGGTGTGAAACACAAATGAGATAAAAGTGCTTGCTCATGTAGCAATGTGTAGGATTCTAATTGGTGTCATAAATTGTAAATGGGAAGTGTGAGACATATGCAATCAATTCAGTTATGTTTCTTTTTTCTAAGTCATTTCTCCCTTCAAGATGACACAGTACTTCGCTATCCAAAACATACCTTTAAAGGTATGTGAATCTGTGTAGTAAACAAAATCCTTCCATGCTTTATTTGTATTTCTTTTCAGTCTGTGTAGAATATATAGACACAACTAATGACTCATCTCTGGACTTGAAAAGGAATGAATGATTTTAGAGAAATGATAGTAGTATAATTCAAACCTTGCCAAGCTCAATAATGCATAAGGTTACAGTGTCTGGCAGGATTAATGTCTCATTGCATATTTGCAGAAATGTTCATTTATGCAACAATGTTCCATATAAAAGTGCTTGTGATTTCAGGTTTTGCCTAGAGGTATCTTGTTAAGTATTTGCATATTATACTTGTTTTTCTATATTTGTAACTTTATATCTTTCCCTACATCCCCTCTGGATAATATTTTTTCCCCTTTTTTAGACTGTAAGCACAACACAGGATTTGCCCCTTGTACCTGAGCTGTACCACTTGTTGAGCTTTTGGTCATTTAGGTCTGCTGTAATTGCACAGGCACTGAGCCATTTACAGTAGATCTAAACAATGTATGCAATTTATACTTAATCTGCTTTGAAGTGTCAATGCATATTTCTGCTTTGAGTTTGTAATTGACCGTTATTAGTGAATTAGGTTCAATGGACCTGTGGCTGAGTTTTGGTACACTCCTTTGAAAATCAGTAATATTCTTTGAACATGTAGGGAGATGTCATCACTGGTGTGTGGATGTTGTTTCACTTATGTATTTTGTATTGCTATTTGTACTCTGGGGCTGATTTTTTGACTCCTTCATGGCTGATTGTGGACCTGGTCTTTGTGGATGTGCAGCCGATGGGCTGTGGTTGTGATGCTGGGACTGTACTACCAATTGTTGGTGTGACTGCTGCGACATTGAGTACTGGTGTGGTGTCATTGTACGAATCCCCTATGTACTGCGCATACGCTACTCTGTGGCGCGTGGCGGATCGCTGGGACAACCGCTGGGCTGGACTTCCACCTGGGCTGGTATCGTTGCTGGCCGCAGGGAGTGCATATGAGCTGTAACCACTGACTGGGCTGGGTAACATCACACACCATGCGGTTTGGGAGCCCTGGTTAGGGCGTATATATATATGACGGGTTGGTGGAGAGCATATAAGGACACACTCTAAGGCAGCTTGGGAGACTGCATGGCAGTCTACTATTGTAATGAGGATCCATGCATCGTACAAACAGGTAATTGCTATCCTTCAGTCATGGAGACAGCTCTAGTGGTATGTTTGATATCTGGTATGCAACAATATTTGATACATCCCTTGTGTACCTTAATGGATGTTTATGTGAAGTCTGGCTTGTGTTTTGGATTTTGTTGAAAGATCCGTTTTTACACACATCCATTCCAGAACATCCAAAAAGTCTCATATTGGAAGGCCAGAAATATAAAAAGCAAAATAGCCACTAGCAGGATGAAACGAATCCCAGAAACCCAACTTAAAATGACACTCATCCCCCTGATTGGTATGTACCAGTGCAAAAATGCATTATGCCTCACATGTTCTTTTACTCATCATGGCCAAAAAAACTATACCATTAAAGGGAAAAACTATTCTATCTAAAGAGTTCTACAATTGTCCCACAGAATACGTCATTTATTGTTTGACCTGCCCATGTGGATTATTTTATGTAAGAAGAACGATCAGAACCTTACGAAAACGCTTCAGTAATCACAGACGACTCATAGAAACTGGATCAGTCAAACATAGTGTCCCCAGACATTTTCTTGAACACCATCAAAAATCCACCATAGGGCTTTCAGTATGGGTTCTAGAACATATTGCAAAATTATCCTCCATGGCAGAGCGTTTCAAGCGTCTCTGCCATCACAAGATATACTGGATTTATACGCTGGGAACCCTAATTCCAGGAAGCCTTAATGAAGAAATCGGAATACACACAGTACTCTAATCCTTGCACCTCATTAAACACACAATAAATATATATATATATCTTTTTGTTCCTTCCCTTCCCCATTTTTTTGTTTTTACTTCCACGCATGACACTACACAGATACAAACATACATGCAGCTACGTACTAATACAGTGATAGGACCCTGTGCCATTTTAGCTATAATTATCTAAACAGACATTTCCCGTTATTTATTATGATTTTTTATTTTTGTTATAAATTTGATACTATGGGGGACAGTGTCCAGCCAGCTCTGTGGTTGGCTGCTCTTTAAAAGTCCTCCACAATACTCCAGCCTAATCTGTGGCCACAAACCTACTTCAGGATCATAAAACATACCCCCACGAGTCAGATACTCAACTCTCCCCACTCCAGTGCCATGCCCCGTCATCAGAAATCACCTGGGCACCACAGAAGCTCACAGACTTCTATGCAGCCCAGGAACACAGGAGCCTGCTCAGCATCCCATCCGCCCAGTCAGAGGGACAGTACAGCTACACTTCAGACCCCAGGCTCTCTGCTCCACTCTATGAGGGCGACCTGGGTGAGTCATCTCCCCCATTGTCACCCACATATCGCAGCCCTGCAAAGCCCAGACTTAGAATGGATGATTCTTCCACTACAGACACACAGGCTCCACTTCTCTCTCATACTCCAGCATCACAGCTGCAGCCAGCAATAGAATCTTTCTCTGCATCTGATCAACTTGTATCAGAATTAACCATGAAGAACATGTTTCTCTCATTAAGGCAGACCCAGGGGCGGACTGACCATTTGGAAACTCGTGCACTGCCCGAGGGCCCGGGATCAGTAGGGGGCCCCATGAGATGCCCCTGGTACCTTTTTCATAGGCTTTTTTGAGTTTGGGCAAGGACACAGGGGCCCCATGATCCTCTATTGCCCGGGGGCCCCATGAGTTGTCAGTCCGCCCCTGGACAGACCCTTCACACTGATTTATCAGCGGTATTAACCCCACTCTATAATACTGTACGCGAACACAATCAATGCATCCACCATATTGAAAATAAAATAAGCAAAATGTTCTTGGCGCATAACGTCATGGTAGATGCCCACTCTGATCAGGACGCCGAAATCCAACAACTCAATCTTAAAATAGTGGACCTGGAAGACCGATCCAGAAGAAAGAACATTAAATTCTGTGGCATTCTAGAATTGGTCACCCCTGACACCCTAATTGCCTATCTACAACAACTGATAAAACATCTTCTTCCTTCGCTCGCTGACATAGAAACAGTCATAGATAGAGCACACAGAATACCAAAATCATCATTTTTACACGCATCAATCCCTAGAGATGTACTGGTGCGCATATACTTTTATCATATTAAAGGAAAGATCATGATTGTGGCGAGAAACCCAACAGCGCTCCCTGCATCCCACGCAGGTATCAAACTCTAAGCTGACCTGTCCAAAGCAACACGAACAAAAAGAAGCTGATAACCATAACCAAAGCCCTACACAACAACAACATAGGCTAACAATGGGGTTTCCCTACTAAGCTCACAGTTAAATGACAAGGGAAACTTTTCACAATTAGAAGTCTAGAGTCAGGACTTGGTCTACTCAAGGAGTGGAACATTCTGCCTGTGGATGATAACCCTCGCCCACTTGTTCAACCTTAAAACATGGATGGCAATTGGTCCTGAACAAATACTCACACAACCACGATCTGACCTACATATCATCCCCTCCAATACCCCTAGCTGGAGTATTTCGGGCTCTTCCAACAACCTTTCCAACCTAAATACATGTACCACCATGGCTCAGGTACACTGCCATGGTTGCCCAATTACCCCTAAATGTGAGTAGGTTTATGCTACCTATTTTTCTTGTACTGTTCACAAGATTTTTTTATATCTATTTGTTTGTAAACCCTGTTTACGATACCAGTCTCACATGCTCCATACTCACCTCAGCAACTTTTGGTGACCTACACTACAACGCTATCTTCTACGAGCACCTCATAGCTTACTCGAATTTGCTCTCACTTCCCATCCTTAAGGTTGAATACCTTAATAATTACTATGTCAAATATCACATCTAAAATAGTCCTCATACTCCTATTCGATATACAAACCACAA